TTAAGTCCTACTTAAAGGTCTACATAACCCTAAAATGACAAACCTTTAGAGGAAGAATACACATGGGGTCATTGTACCTCTGCCAGGTATACTCAATGGCCTCTTTATTATGTACACCTGTTCAATTGCTTGGTAACACAAATTGCTACTCAGCCAATCACATGGCAACAACTCAATGCATTTAGACATCTAGATGTGGTGAAGATGAATTGCTGAAGTTCAAACCAAGCATCAGAATGGGGAAGAAAGGGGATTTAAGAGACTTTGAATGTGGCACGATTGTTGGTGCCAGACAGGCTGGTCTGAGTATTTCAAAAACTGCTGATCTCCTGGGATTTTCACGCACAACCATCTCTAGGGTTTACAGAGAATTGTCCAAAAAGAGAAAATATCCAGTGAGCGGCAGTTGTGTGGACGAAAATGCTTTGTTGATGTCAAAGGCCAGAGGAGAATGGGCAGACTGGTTCAAGATGATAGATAGGCACCACTAACTCAAATAACCACTTGTTACAACCAAATTATTATGCAGAATACCATCTCTGAAAGCACAGCACGTTGAACCTTGAAGCAGATGGGCTACAGCTGCAGAAGACCAACCTGGGTGCCACTCCTGTCAGCTAAGGACAAGAAACAGAGGCTAGAATAAGCACAGGCTCACCAAAATAGAAGATTGGAAAAATATTGCCTGATCTGAGGAGTCTTGGTTTCAGCTGCGACATTCAGATGGTAGGGTCAGAATTTGGTGTTAATAACATGAAATCATGGATCCATCCAACCCTGCCACCAGCACCAAAATAATTGATGTTCAGCTTCCTTGCTGCTCTCTTAATTCATCAGAGAGCAAGTCTAATCTCAGTGTAAGATATTGGAACTTATCAATTACTTTATTTCCCTTCTACCATTTGGTCAATGAAATTCTTGCATTGCATCCTGGAAGGAAGAAAAGGAGGTCAAATGTTTCACTTTACCACAGATTATCTCCTGGGGGCTCTGATGGAGCCACAAAGGGACAGGAAAACACAATGAAGGTGGAAGAGGCTGTTCTTTTAAGATAACCTGCCACTTTTCTTATTCATGGACATTTATTCTTTTTAAGTAATCCAAATCTGTAGGTTAGGTCTCTTGCTCCTGACTTTTTACATAATCAGTTATCCAACATTGAGACTCCTTTTGTGCAGCCATTGGAAAGCCAGCAGAGTCCCACTCCTTCTATCATATTCTGTTCCATGTGGAAAAAAAAAAAAGAAAAATCCTGTAGCAAAGGCAAGGAACACCAATAACTGTTGACAATGACAACTGCATGATGAAGAGGTCAGGAGGGCTCCGAAACATTGCTGTGTTTCTATGTGACAACTAACATGCTTATGAAGAGCATTATGGTGTGCTGGTGACTACATTTGCTTGTATTTTATTTATACAACAAAACCTTTTGTTGTTTGATCACTACAGGACCATTACCTAATGGTCGATAGCTGTAAAATAAGTCTAAATATACACAATGATTACCATAAAACCAACACAAGATGTGAACACATTGCTGGGCTTTCTCTGGACCTCCTGGTAAATATACTGTACGTCACCAAAACAAAACTTCAGACAAATATTTAGAAAACACCATTTAATACAGTGAAGTATTCATTAAAAAGAATAAAATATATTTTTACATAGAAAGCACATCAGGCATCTATTACATTGAACAGTACTTGTCAGCCTTACACCAATCACATGGGATGGCCTTTTCAGTTTGTTGCTGTTCCTTCATTGTCCAATTAGGTTGGGGAGAAGGAAAGTGAATAAGGAGGCCAAACTTCAGCAGATATTTGTTCTTTTATTTAATGACCAGAACGGTAAGTACCACTGCTGCACTTTTAGGGGGAAACAATGTTGGACTGTGAACATATAAGATTCCCAGTTACTATATAGGAGGTACAGAGGCTATATGGGGCATGTAATTCAGGTCCTCAGATTATGGTTTTTGGTTGGACTTCCAATTTAAGTCCATTTGCAGTGCTGAAATAAGTAGGCTTCAAGGGGGGGCTGGTTGGTCGGAACTGCTATTATTTTCTTTCAATTTATCTTCAAAAAGCATTACATCATGCCTCTTGACCCTCTTGCTGTCTATCCACCAGTTTTTGATTAATTGAAATAAATTTTTCAAGTATTTTTAAATGCAGCCTTTTGGTATGTCCTTCACAGAAGTACAGGACTGAAAGAGGGAGAGGTAGCATTCTCAGCACTGGGGTGCAGTGTTGTCACTTTCCTATCCTGAACACACTTAGAGGAGAAGAAATCCCAAGGATGACCCCCATCATTATATTATTGTTTCTGTGTTTCCTAGGCTGGGGTGGGTCCTGGGCCAGACTGCATTGGTCTAATGCAATATAGCCTGCAGAGAGAAATAGCTGATCCTTTTAGCAGGGGTGTGGAAATCACCTAAAAAGGTAAGTACCGTGATATAAGGTCCTAGAAATTGGATTTACATGGGCACGGTCACTTTTTTCCTGAATGGGTAAGGTGACAGCATCTCTCTTTAAAGTGAAATTGTAGAGGCTTCATTAAGATAAAAGCAGACCTAGGTACATGAAGTACATCTTTTGCAGTCCATGCTATGTAGGCTAAGAAACTACACTGCCATCTGTATGCAAATCTCTACTTTCCAATATAGAAAAACTCTTCCCATAGCTCACACTGCTACCCCGCCATAAGGCTGACCCTTTGGCTTCAATACATTCTGAGCCACTGTAGTCTCTATTGGAAGCCTGTGTGACAGGGTGACAATGCAAGAGCACAATTAGAAGAATTGGAAAAGAGAAAGAGTGTTGTCATCCTATAATAGAATTTGCCTGAACAAGACCTTCATGGCAGGAGCACCCGTTATTAATTTAATGAAAGCTGCAAATTTAAAAATATTGAAAGTTAGTTTGAAAATTTCATTAGCATGTTAAAGCTGTAACATGCTTCCCTTCAATTGTTATATGTATGAGGTTTGCAGGAAATCTAGTTAGTGGTCATCACTGTGCAGTGAATGCTATGAACACTATACCCACAAATCTGTGCATACCCATATAGAGCCAGGGGATTGCTTACCAAGACTGTACATATTATTTAATACAACTAGCAGATTGCACTTGGAAAGTGGAAAAAAACTTTAGTTTACTATGGACAATCTTGGTTTTTATAAGTTATTCTAAGATCCCCTAGGCCAGTGGATCTCAACCTTTTTGAGGCCAGGGATTGATACATTTTTCCAAAACCTTCCATGCCACAACAGTATGTAATAAAGTTTGTACTCACACAATAAAAGTATGGGAATGCAAAACGCACTGCAATGCTAAAAGGCTTGGAGCTTGGTGTCTCTGTGGGAGGCACTGGGGCAGTGAAGTGGGTTAGGGACTCTACAGCTGACTTTGTGGCCCAGTAGTGGGCGAGGTTTCTTCTTGGGGGGGTGGGCTGCTGGGGAGCACTGTGGAAGGTTGGCGGGCTCTATGGGACACTATTAGAAGTTGTTTTCACCATGAAGGTCTTGAGGTTCTGCAGCAAGCTAGAGGGCACTGTGGGAGGTTGGGGGGCACTTTTGAGGCTGAAGTCTCTTAAGTGGCCTGAGGGCATTGTGGGCCACTATGGGAGGTTGATGGGGCACTATAGGAGCTGGGAGGTCCTGTGGGATGTTATCATATCTTCATCTGGCTGGAGGCCCGCAAGAATGAAGGCCAAGGCCTGGTGGTTGAGAACCACAGCTCTAAGTGATGTCTTATGTATTTGTAGCACATATAATTTCTTCTTTCAAAAGTAACTCCACTCTCTGGTTTGTATGCAATACAGGTCCCCTTGGAGATATATCAATTCCTCCCCAGGCAGGCTGTGAGCTGCTATACTCAACTTGTCATTGGTCTACACAATTATTCATATTGTCTTATAGAGAATTCCCTAGAGGTTGCAGGACACAGAAATAAAGCTGTGTCAACTGCCATTCAGTGTATTTTATAGAAGCCTAAAAACCCACCAGTGTCAGCAGTAGCTTTGCTGAAAAATTCATTCAAGCATGTCAGGTTGTGCTGGGAGGGAGGTCCCTCTACATCAGAGAATATCCTATTGTAGACTTAAAGAAAACAAACATCAGTTGAAATTTCTACCCAGTGATTATTGTGGCCTGTTTCAATGGGCTTTTGTTTACTTTGAGTGGGTTTTACATTGCCATACAAGTCTATGGACTGCAAAACAAGCAGGAAGCAGGTCGAAGGTAAGTCAGATGCAGATCAACTGCATCAGTCAATGAATTCTGAATGACCTCAGAAGTGTTCCAAACCAATGCCATCTGTACAAGCCCAAAGCCTGTCAACACAGGCCCTAAATTGGTACTTCAAAGTGTGAGAACAGATTAATGAGTAATCAACAGTATGTATTAAACATTTATAATGTACAAATGCATATAAACAGCAAACAATAAAAACTAAGCATAGCGTCTGTTTACGGTTTTTTTTCCTTTTTTTTTTTTAAATCAATCCAGACTACTGTTATTTCAGCAACAAAGTTGAGGCTCAGTTCTCTGTGGTACCCTTCTGATATAAAAGAACATCTACAGCAAAAACAATCCCTTTCAGAACAATGCATAAGAAATATACAGCATTCTATAAGAAAAAGAAAAAATATAAAAAATCCTCTAAGAAACAAGGAATGGCATAAAATAAGTATATGGATGATGATAATCTGGAAAGAAAAAAAAATGGATCAACTTGCATAAACGTTTTGAACATATATGGATGACACAAGTTGATGAATGACGTCTTCTGTACATTGTGCGATCCGATCCTCCTATCTGCTAGATGATGTAGTTATCATGACTTCGATATTACAAACACAGACAGAAGTTCCTAGTATAATGGCACACGTAGTGTCTCTGAATGCCACATGAGCCGGATAAACAACGCTGTATCCCACTTGTAACGTAGCCTCCAGCAGTGCACAGGAAAGGTGTATTATCCCACTTCATATCCTTAACATTAAGTAGGCAGGGGGTCATCATCCCCTTTACTGCATTTACATTTGCAGCACAGAACAAAAGGAGTGGCCAGTAAGAGGAATGGTGAGGCTACTAATAGCAGAAGCCCAAATCCTGCAAATATTCCAACCACCTGCGAAAAGAAAAAATATAAAATAAGATAAGTGCAAAGGACATTGGAAAATTATTAAATCCCATATTCTGAGCATCTAACACAAGGTGGCGCTGGCTGGCAAGAAAAGAAATGTACCGGCACTAATTCCTACAATACAAGTGGGCTATTTTCTTCCTTTACTTCCGTACTGCACCCATGTTGTACATTGCAGGTTTGGGTCAACAGAGATACAGCTGGCGTAAAGCCCAACTGAACCTTACTGTATTAGTTGTGTGGTACAGTCAGGTAGCTCTATGTGTTCTAGTGCTGTAGCTCTGTATCAGTGGTCTCCAAACTGCAGCCCTTTGCCTTTATCCGGCCCTCAGAAACTAGTCCTTCCACTGATATGAGGCACTATTCCACCTATTGACACTGATGAGACACCATTGCTTTTAATGACACCAACAGTGGGGTATAATTCCTCCCACTGACACCAATGATGGGGCACTGTTACTTCCACTGACACCAACAATGGGGTAAGATTCCTCCCATTGATATAGACGATGAAACACTATTCCCCCACTAACACCAAAAATGGGGCATTATTCCTTCCACAGGTATCACCAATAGGGCACTCTTCCTCCAACTGATATCAATGATGGGGCACTATTCCTCCAACTGACACCAACGATAGGGCACTCTTCCTCCAACTAATACCAATGATAGGGCACTCTTCCTCCAACTGACACCAACGATAGGGCACTCTTCCTCCAACTAATACCAATGAGGGGTACTATTCTTCCAACTGACACCAGTGATGGGGCACTATTCCTCCAACTGACACCAATGATGGGGCACTATTCCTCCAACTGACACCAATGATGGGGCACTCTTCCTCCAACTGACACCAATGATAGGGCACTCTTCCTCCAACTGATACCAATGATGGGGTACTATTCCTCCAACTGATACCAATGATGGGCACTATTCCTCCAACTGACACCAATGATGGGCACTATTCCTCCAACTGACACCAATGATGGGGCACTCTTCCTCCAACTAATACCAATGATAGGGCACTCTTCCTCCAACTGACACCAACGATAGGGCACTCTTCCTCCAACTGATACCAATGATGGGGTACTATTCCTCCAACTGATACCAATGATGGGCACTATTCCTCCAACTGACACCAATGATGGGCACTCTTCCTCCAACTGACACCAATGATATGGCACTCTTCCTCCAACTAATACCAATGATGGGGTACTATTCCTCCAACTGATACCAATGATGGGGCACTATTCCTCCAACTGACACCAGTGATGGGGCACTATTCCTCCAACTGACACCAGTGATGGGGCACTATTCCTCCAAATGATATCAATGATGGGACACTATTCCTCCATCTGATACCAATGATGGGGCACTATTCCTCCAACTGATACTAATGATGGGGCACTCTTCCTCCAACTGATACCAGTGATGGGACACTATTCCTCCAAGTGATACCAATGATGGGGCACTCTTCCTCCAACTGATACCAATGATAGGGCACTCTTCCTCCAACTGACACCAGTGATGGGGCACTATTCCTCTAACTGACACCAGTGATGGGGCACTATTCCTCCAAATGATATCAATGATGGGACACTATTCCTCCCACTATTCCTCCATCTGATACCAATGATGGGGCACTATTCTTCTAACTGATACCAATGATGGGCACTATTCCTCCAACTGACACCAATGATGGGCACTCTTCCTCCAACTGACACCAATGATATGGCACTCTTCCTCCAACTAATACCAATGATGGGGTACTATTCCTCCAACTGATACCAATGATGGGGCACTATTCCTCCAACTGACACCAGTGATGGGGCACTATTCCTCCAACTGACACCAGTGATGGGGCACTATTCCTCCAAATGATATCAATGATGGGACACTATTCCTCCATCTGATACCAATGATGGGGCACTATTCCTCCAACTGATACCAATGATGGGGCACTCTTCCTCCAACTGATACCAATGATAGGGCACTCTTCCTCCAACTGACACCAGTGATGGGGCACTATTCCTCTAACTGACACCAGTGATGGGGCACTATTCCTCCAAATGATATCAATGATGGGACACTATTCCTCCCACTATTCCTCCATCTGATACCAATGATGGGGCACTATTCTTCCAACTGATACCAATGATGGGGCACTCTTCCTCCAACTGATACCAATGATAGGGCACTCTTCCTCCAGCTGACACCAATGATAGGGCACTCTTCCTCCAGCTGACACCAATGATAGGGCACTCTTCCTCCAACTAATACCAATGATGGGGAACTATTCCTCCAACTGATACCAATGATGGGGCACTCTTCCTCCAACTGATACCAATGATAGGGCACTCTTCCTCCAGCTGACACCAATGATAGGGCACACTCTTCCTCCAGCTGACACCAATGATATGGCACTCTTCCTCCAACTAATACCAATGATGGGGTACTATTCCTCCAACTGATACCAATGATGGGGCACTATTCCTCCAACTGACACCAGTGATGGGGCACTATTCCTCCAACTGACACCAGTGATGGGGCACTATTCCTCCAAATGATATCAATGATGGGACACTATTCCTCCATCTGATACCAATGATGGGGCACTATTCCTCCAACTGATACCAATGATGGGGCACTCTTCCTCCAACTGATACCAGTGATGGGACACTATTCCTCCAAGTGATACCAATGATGGGGCACTCTTCCTCCAACTGATACCAATGATAGGGCACTCTTCCTCCAACTGACACCAGTGATGGGGCACTATTCCTCTAACTGACACCAGTGATGGGGCACTATTCCTCCAAATGATATCAATGATGGGACACTATTCCTCCCACTATTCCTCCATCTGATACCAATGATGGGGCACTATTCTTCCAACTGATACCAATGATGGGGCACTCTTCCTCCAACTGATACCAATGATAGGGCACTCTTCCTCCAGCTGACACCAATGATAGGGCACTCTTCCTCCAGCTGACACCAATGATAGGGCACTCTTCCTCCAACTAATACCAATGATGGGGAACTATTCCTCCAACTGATACCAATGATGGGGCACTATTCCTCCAACTGACACCAATGATGGGGCACTATTCCTCCAACTGACACCAGTGATGGGGCACTATTCCTCCAAATGATATCAATGATGGGACACTATTCCTCCCACTATTCCTCCAATTGATACCAATGATGGAGCACCATTCCTCCAATTGACACCAATAATGGAGCACCATTCCTCCAACTGACACCAATGATGGGGCACTATTTCTCCAACTAACACCAATGATCAGGCACTATTCCGCTAACGGACACCAATGGAGGGGCACTATTCCTCCCCCTCCTTGACCACAGGCGCTATGTAATTAATTAATTTACTCCCATTGACCAGCAAACCTGAGACATTATTTACTCCTACTTACGCTGAGGCAATACTACACCCACTGACCACAGTCCAACCCCCTAAAGTCTGAAGGAAAGAAAACTGGCACTTTGTTTGGAGCCCCTGGAGAATCCTGCTCTATATCAAACTTATCTTGGCTGTAGCATTAGCTGATCTTTAAATACACACTCAAAAAGACTCTCACACAGAGCACAGCGGTCTGATCTCCAGCAGTCTGACACCTCCTGCACAGTGCCCCAATCAACAACGTTGCTCCGGGAGTGCAGGCGCTGATGATCGAAGCATTACTGTTATGACTGTGGGGGGCGTCAGACTGATGGAGATTCAGACTGTAGTATTCAAGCTTGCTGCTGGCACAAGGAAATTTAAAGTGACACTAAACTATATCCTTATTCTCCAAATGTAATCCACACACAACCCATACTTAATGGCCCTGTGATCTATTTTTCATGAAATAAATTATTACTGTGTTTTACTGTCTCCTTGTAACATGCTCTGTGAGCTCCTGATCCTCTTCCTTTTCGCTCTGTTTGTTTGTTTGAAACAATCAAAGCACATTAGCTGTGGTCATATGCACTGCTCTTGAACATCCTATAGTCCATAGTCCCTAGTCCATCTTGGGAGAGAGCAGGAGAAGGCGGTTACATTCCTACATACAGTTTAGGAGCATGAGAACAAGCATAGCCACCCTCTAAAAGGAAGTTGTATCACAACAGCAATAAAAAAGGAATTTGGAGATTTGGAGGAGGCTGAGAGCTATAGAAAGGAGTTTTGTGAGCTAAAAATACATAATTGATTTTTTTTTAACCAGAGTTTGGTGTCACTTTTCTATAGGGCTACAGTACTAACATAGAAGAAAACAGCTGACATAGAGTTTACTTTCTAGGTGGCCTGGCTGCAACACACTAATAAAACAATTTGGTTAATTGGCCTTTAAAGTAAAACATCACGCTAGATTCTCAGATATCAGAGGAGCCTAGAACTAACCAGACCCAAATTACAGGATATGTCAGGTTTAAAACTCTTGCTCTGCTTTGTATATTGAGAGAATCAAGCAGGGTTTCCAGCTGTCCTGAGATGTAGACCCCTTACACAGGTCCGCCTGTCAGTTATTCAGGCGGACCTAATCAGATGGTCCATGTATCCCTATGGACTGGTGGGTGTACATGGTCTTGTGCTTGTTTATACCCACCTACCTCCAATCCGATATGGTCAGATAAAAAAAAAAAATGGAAGGGGATCTATCCCCCTCCTTCAGAGGGCAGTCTGGTGTAAACAGACAGCCATTCTGTTTACACTCAGCTGCCCATAGAGCAGAGCAGGCTCTATTCGTGTCCGCTCTGCATAAACTGAGCGGACACAGACTGGTCATCCACCCACTCTGCTCTTATCAGAGGGGGATCAGTGCACAGATCCCCTGCTGAGCAAATCAGATTCTGCCCCATGTGAAAGAGGCATAAAGCTGGTCATAGACACAAAGGGGTTAATTTACCAAAACTGGAGAGTGCAAAATCTGGTGCAGCTGTGCATGGTAGCCAATCAGCTTCTAACTTCAGCTTGTTCAATT